CCTTTTCATCATTACTATAACTAATACTGCTTGGGCTCCCTGTGTTTAGATGGAAGTACATTAAAATCCTGTGCTCTTTGGAATTGAATTATTTTATCATGTAAGACGATTGTGTTGTTCAAGTGTCCGAATTCACTTGTGCTACTGCGAAAAAAGTCGAGGCTAGAGCTTTATCTTTTTATAAATTTGCTTTAATTTATCAAGTCCAACCTCGAACGCTGTTTTGTAGTTAATTGAGCAATCCAGAAAAAGGGTTATTTGTTGCATTCTGAATACTTTTTTGGTTTTCCTGCATGCATATTTTGCCATTACGGTTAAGTCATATCGAAAGTCGAAACTATTATTGTTATCTTTCACTTACCTTTATATTATTTGAAGTTGTCAAGTTTAAAGGTATCTGAGCCTTGTTCCAGCCATTGCTGTAGTTACCAGCATCACTGCTATAGCTCCCTTCTAACTGCCATACAACAACGTCCTTTTGCGATGATCTAAAGACAACCCTTAGCGTGTCCACGTGCTTGCCAATCATTTGGTAGTAGAAGGTTAAACAAGTACTCTTCAACATGAGCTGTGAACTAGCTAACATGGCGAGTGGACTTCGGTTTCTTAATCCAGCTCCTGATTGCATCTGAAGGTAATAACCTGTTAACCAAAAAAGAAGTGCCTCAGTGAAAACGATCGCCGACGTGCCAGAAATTAAGCTAATAGAAAACCATCCAACATGCTACAAATGTTGCTTAATTTGGAGGGGGAAACAAGTGAAAATCATTGCATTGTCATTGTATATCTCATGACATTGAAGATGAATTTAGTTATTTTTTATTATTATTTGTTTTGCTTTATTATCCTTATGATTACGAATTAAGAAAACTTGAGCTAAGAAGTATGCGCATGAATGCACCCTTCTTAAAAGTAATGATAAAAAGATAAATTATACACCGTGAAAAGATGAAAAAACTTACTGACGTTTCGAACGCTAGTCCTTCGTCGGAGTAAAAGAGGACTATCTTTTCACGGTGTATAATTTACCTTTTCATCATTACTGTATCATTAGAAACACCGACGCAGCTCACACTAGTTTTTAGCTAGTTATATCTCCTTCTTAAAAGTGTCTTGAATGCGAGGTTAATATGGAAATATAAAAGAAATGCCACAAATTCCATCGAGAAAAAGCGTGATTACTTTTGTATTTTCATGTTAGCCTTGCATCCACGATACTTTTAAGAAGGGTGCATTACAGCTGATGTATGTATGTATGATATCTGATCATCGAATTAAACTGGCTTGGATGGTGTTTTATAACCCCTCCTTCCTCATGACTATGTTTGGAAGGGTCCTTACATTAGTGACTGCTTACCTAAATTTTTGCGGTAACGGCTTGTCTTACAAATGTATGAGATTTGACCATATGTTTGATTACAGGATACATCAATTAATCTACCAGCGTCAGGTGATGAACCAGAAACTATTGCTGCACATTTGTCTTTGCCAGTAGTACTTGGTTTGCCTTTCATCCAAACGTTTGTCATATTCATGACGGTTCCATCATCATATGCCCAAACCCCCGTGCCGTTGAAATCACGTATGCCAATATAGTACTGCAAACTGGTGTTTGATAATACTTGATTCCTAATAAAAAACCATTCGTCCTTGTCTCGAATGTCAACAAGTCGGCCATTTTTGTTTTTACATTTGGTCTGTGCCTCTAGCCAAGTGGTATTCGTTTCATGATTGTTCAGTCTGTAGCAATGTCCCTTGTACAAGGAAGACCAACCACTTAAACACGTAGCTATAAATAAGAAAGAGGGTTCCTATTACACAAAATTATCTGATGCCCTTTTTGTTACCATACCATACGTTGGTGAAAGAAAACGTAATCTTAAAATACTTCATGCGCAGGTAATATTCCAGACCTAAAGAGTATATATCACCTTCCTAAGAAAACTACCAAAAATGAGTCCTTTATTAGTCGGCATAGATTCTTGGTGCTGAATGATTGGACGAAGCAGGCAAAATCCTCTTGGTCTTCTTTTAGCTCGAAGGTTAACTAAAGGTCCTGTTACACGTTGAAACTTTTAGCTGAAACTTGCGCGGCAAGTTTAACAGCGGTGTTAGACGGCGTAACTTAGGCATGGCGAGACTTTCCTCGCGAGAATGTTGCACAAAAAAAGAACTGGTTTGTACTTGTGTAACCGAAACTTTTATCGCGAACAAGTTTTAGGACGACATTGCGCCGCTTAAATTTCATCTCGAATGCCGATGCACCCATGGCCAAGTTTCACCTAAAAGTTTCAACGTGTAACAGGACATTAATATTACTTAGACATTTGTGAGTCCGATTTATCGTAGCATGCTTATTGACTTACGTGCTCCTAAGGTGTGGTCAAATAATGGTTGATTGTTTGATGTAGCTTGTCGTCGCACCCACTTCAGTCCATTATTAGCATTGGAAGTTTTAAACAGACAAAGGCCTTTCTCAAAATCACAGGAATACACTGAAATATAACAGTTTATATTTAACACCTTTAAATAATAATAATAAAAAAACATTTTCATTTTCATTAGACTTACTTTCCTCACTAATGCATGTAACACCAGCATCTTCATAATGTCCACAGTTCTCCCTTCCCCACCCATTATGCCTGCAAGAGCCAAGGGATTTTTCACTACCAGTGCACTGAACATTATCCAGCCATATTTTCCCGGATCCTGCACCAAAGGCAGCACGCACGTGGAATTTCACTGCACCTGAGACATAAGATAATACAAAACAATTCAGCTGTGGCTTTTGTTTGACTCAAAAAGCTATGTACATAACAGACTAAGTAAATAATAGACATAATAGAATAGACTACTTCATAATGAAAGGAAAATTCATAATACAAACCTACGAATCCTAGCATCCTACATGCGACAGTCGCATCCCTAATATCCCAGTCGTCGTCGCACACGGTACCCCACACACCGTTATGGTACACTTCTACACGACCCGAATAATCGTTGCTACCTCCAACTAAACGAATCTGCTTTGGTTCTTGAACATAAAAATGACCAGATTTATTAGAAATGTAATAATTATTCATAAAATGATATTAAAAGTCGTTTCTAACTTGCATTTTCACTTCCTTTGGGTATATTAGATGGGCAGAGAGAATAAAAGAAAAATATCAAATGCCCTTGCAGGGAATCGAACCCACGTCTTCTCGGTATTCCAGTCCGATGTGTTAACCACTACACCACATTAGATGGGTAGTCGGGTATTGCGCTACAAATGCGTCGTTTCTCACCAATGCGACCCGGATTGTCTATTGGCTCTCTCGCTGGGTATCGAGGGTTTTCCTACGATTCGAGTTCTCCGGTTTACTTCCCTCATCAAAAATCAACTAATAAATTCTAATTCAATCTCTGGGTTTCCACCTTAACGGTTACGGCTCTATTTGTAATTGTTACACGCTGTGATAAACCCCATTAATTAGATGGGCTATATCAATTTGTTGTGTAGTGATACATATACTTATAATACTTAAAGGGACTCTGAGGTGCCAGACAGACCATAGCTTAAAATGTACATCAAACCTTGGTGATTTTGAAATCAAAATGAAAATTCCATGAAATGCGTTTTTTGAGGTGATATCGTCCGTCAAAGTTGCGAAATGATTTAAGCTGGGCTCCCTGTGGAATATCGCGGATTTGATGGCTTGGGATGATAGTGGAACTTGTTGGATAACTGGAGTTGAATCATACAAATTTTGCTGTTGAAGTATGGCTGTTCTTTATCAATGTGAGTCGGAAATTGCTTGAAGAGAAGAATATAATACTCCCGATGAAAGTGTGAGCGAGGAAAGTGAGCTAGAAGAAGTGGTTGATCTGTCTGATACCTCAGAGTCCCTTTAATTAAGGGGGCTTGGACCATTTTTTATACACATTAGTAAACAATCTTACTTGGAGTAGGTCGAGTAGGTTTTGGTGTTGTTGGTATTGGCGTTGGTACGAAGACACCTGCCAAGAAAAAATAATTGAAAATTACAAATTTTACCTCGGCGGCAAATTCATAGACTTGGTATATTATTACTGGCTAGGCCAGATTCCTGCATCACAAATCCAGTGGATCTAATCCCTCTCCCGCTAAGTGCATGTCCATAAAGTGAACGTCAAGGAGCAAAACTATTATTATTATCATCATTACCGCAAAATAGTTGCATCAAGCTATACCTTGGCCACAATATCGAAGATTACAAGATGGTGGTTTATTGAGCTCATAGACTAAGAATCCTGAACAGTTCTTCACTCGGATGGAAGTGGACCATCTACAGCAATCACCGAAATAACTAAAACAAACTGTTCTGGAAACCATTTCTTCGCTGACCGTTGGATTGCCTGAAATAAATGGAATTTCAAGTTGTTTTTAGAATCCCAAGGTTGGTGAAAACAAGCGAAAAGAAGACAAGGAGAGGATTAGAGAAAGAGCGAAGGAGAGGGAAAGGAAATAGATAGATAAAGAGAGAGAAGGAAAGATGGAGATATGAAAAGAGAGAGAGAATAATTTACCTCCATTCAACCAGCCTGACGCTCGTGTACCACATCTGTTTTCAGGAACACAAGACGAAGGCATTCGATCTCCAGCAGGTCCCATAAAACGATGCCACTGTCCAGGAATTATACCACTTTTTCTGTCGCACTGATTTACTTGACCCGCGAATGTTTTAGCTCTGTCTTTGCTGTTTAATATCTTATACCTGATGCATTCGTTGTCAATCGTGCCTGGGCAATAGAAAAAATAAAATTAGATAAATAAATAAATAAACAAACAAACAAACAAACAAACAAACAGATAGATAAATAAATACATAAATAAATAAATACATCGATCAATCCATCAATCAATCAATCAATCAAATTTATATACATATATATTATTTGTATTTGCAACACATGATTCAATATCCCTTCAGATACAATAGCAATGAAACAGCCGCCATGTTGGTTGATCTAATAATAGAAGCTAATAAGAAATGCTTTGTTATCGTCAACCACCATAGCGGCTATGACGTAACATCACCCCAAGAATTTGGCAGGACTGATACACGGTGGCTAATGTCATTTTCAAACTGTGCGCTATGCTATTTCCCTACCGTTTGAGCACGCAACCCAGGAATCTTGGGAATGCAAACATTGGTGGCGTCCCCATGGATTCTTGCGACACTGTATAAGGTTACTCTCTCCTCCTGTGCATTGTACGTTGTCAAGCCAGATTATTCCAACACCTCGAGGCTTGTTTAACGACGAAATGGCTCTACCAAGTCCTGGGAACCCTAACATCTTACAGACTACAGTTGCATCTTCGTCACTCCACATATTGTTACAAATAGTACCCCACTGTCCATTGTGAAATACTTGCACACGACCTTGAAGAGGATTGGGATCATCGACTAATCGCACGTCACCTTCAAGGGCTGAGGAAACAAAAATTGTTTGTAAAACATGTGTTGATTTGAAGAAGATAAATAAGTGGCAAAAAAGAACGGCACATTTGCAGTACACAACTTGGTGTAAAGCCATAATTTTCCCACTTGCTTGAAATTAAATATTCTATTTCTACTCTTTTATTTGTTTAAATATACTTAAAAACTTCCTAAATAATAAGTAATTCATAAACCTTTGGTCCAACTGAGCATGCATTCACGTACGTGTACAATGTTTGTTTTTTTTGATTTACTCACCATTAATTGTTGTTGGCGTTGCTGTGCTAGGTGTCATGTTGCAAGTTTTGTTGGACACGGTAATGGTGTCTATGGCAATATCTCCTCTTTCAGAATTCCCACGAACTCCTTCAAATATAATCTATGAGGCAATGAACATAGTCCATGTTTTCATAGAATGTTCAAAAAAACTTCTTTCTTTAACCAACATGGTCGCAATAGGTATGACTTTTATTGCTTTTTTTCTCTTTGAAAGCTAATTCCTGCAATCAGTTTGTCATATTAATGATTTAATTGTTTTTCGCCTTACCTTTAGACCCACATCACCAGTAACATTGATCGGGACTTGTCCTTGGATCCACGAGTTTCCTTGTTCTCCAATTAATGTCCATAGCTTAACAATAGATTGAGAAGTTTCTCTCTTACTATGCACATTGAGCCATCCAATATCATTGCCCCTCATATGGTAATAGAACGAGATGCACTTGGTATTTGCTGGAAGCACAGAGCTTATCAGTTTTGCTCTTGCTCCTGCATCGCCTGTAGAAACCTCGGTGTACATATAGTAACCTAAAGCATAGTAACAAATTTATAAGAATATTTGAACACTTTAGAACATTGTCCGTGTGTACATACCCTAATGAATAGGTGGGAGATCTTTATAAAAAGTTGAATACAGTGCGATGGAAAGGCCAAGACTCAGTCCTGAGATTTCCAAATTAATCTAGGCCGGCAAACTAACGGCCAAGAGGGTATAGTTCACTATATGAAAAATAAGAGAAATAAATGCGAAATAAGAAAATAACTAACCTTTTCCACTTTGATCATAACGTGGTCCAGTGCCAGAAGATGGTGTCGATCCTCTGTTCCTCGTCCAATCAAATTCACTGTTAGTTCGGTCGCCATTCTGATATCCACACGTGTCGTACTCGAAGGTACAGTCCCCGGTTGACGTACTGTTTGAATCTAAGAATCAAATTAAACGATTTAAGTTTTTGGGCAGGGACTGGAACGCTTGTACCATTCCGAGGTTGGGAAAAACTGAGTTGATTATGAATTGTAGTTCACCGTACAGTCGACCCAGGTTTTTCATTACCTTGGAATGGATAATACCTATCGTGCTGAAAGAAAAAAGGAATTACGAAAAAAGTAATAGTTCTGACGGTAATTTTACTACTTTTTACCTAATCGACAGACGACACCAGCATCCTCGTAATGATCGCAGTTATTGTTACCCCATCCGCCGTGACTACATTGAGCAATCGAAGTCTCACTTCCTTTACAGTTCACGTCATCCAGCCATATTGTACCAACTCCTCTTCCATAGACTTGGGATTTGGTAGTCCTCACAGCTCCAGGGTAGCCGAGCATTTTACAGACAACATTAGCATCAGTTATGTCCCAGAAGTCATCACAAACAGTACCCCAAACGCCGTTGTGAAAAACCTCGACTCGACCTTCATAGGTTGTTGGTCCATTGACAAGGCGAACTAACCCGTCTGAAGGAGGAAAGATGATCAGTTTTAGAAAAATAAAAAATCTGATTTTTTGTTTACAGAAACAGAGCTAATTAAGCTTCAAAAAACGTGTCACTTAAGACACGTCGCTTACAAAACATACCTGGTAATACACTGGTGGGACTGACGTTGGGACCAGAGGTTGGAATTAAGGCCAAACAAGAATTAAACGAAGTAGAAATGTCATCGATAGCAACACCTCCAGAATATCCATTTCCATTGACAGCCTCAAAAACCAACTAGAGATAAATTCAACAAACTGATGTTGTAAAATCTGCCGGTTATTAGGAAAAGAATTTACATGCCCACTTTCCAACAGTTCAAAACTGTCAGATTTTTTATAATTATTATTTACGAAGGCCAACAACTAGTTATTAGACAGTTATGCAATTATTGAAATCAAATTTAAATTCAAAATTTTGAATGCTACTGATTTTAAGGCATGATTTCTGAAAAAACTTACGTTAAAGGTTCTGTTCACAGCATCTTGACCAAGGATAAGTTGTGATTTGTACCATTGGTTACCTTGGTTACCAGTTACTTGCTCAATGCGTGTGGAATTCCCTTGCTCCTTCAGGTACACGTTAAGTGTACCGATTTGGGACCCAAACATGTAATAGTAAAAGCTAGCACAGGAAATATTGTGGAGAGATGGACTAACAAGACGAGCCTTGCTTCCCCTTGTTGACCCTTCTGCGTGCATGTATTTGCCTATTGGACACGAGAAGTTAACGAATAATTAACACATATATGAAGTTAAGAAAAAAAAAAATTTGAAACGACTTCGTAAAACTAAATCAACGATACACTTACCTAACCCTGAGGTATGGTCTCTTCTCGGACCTAAAGTACTAACGAATGATTCTACTCCCGATTTTATCCAATCAAAATCGTCGTCCTTGACATTTTGATAACCACACGAAGAACGTTCAAAAGTGCAGCTACCTAGGCCTGAAAACGAAAAGAGGGGAAAACATCTGAATTGTCGAGTGTTTTCTCAGGGTTCTTCAACTTTCCTTATTCAGAAAAATGCAACTTTTAAATTTCAATTCCTAGACAAAGGCAAAGGAGGTATGTCAGGCATTGGCTATAATTTTCTATGTTTTTGCGCACAAACAAAAAAGGCGTTAGGAATGAAAAATGCAAGGCACGATAAAACATAATGAATGTCCGAACAAAAGCAAGTTAAGAATCTATCAATTAACTAATGTCAATCAATTCAGCGAGTTGCAGCTTTAAGAATTGGTTACAAAATTATTACCATCGGTGATAACGCCCTTCGGCTTTGCCGGTGTTGGGTAGAACGAACACTGATCTGAACTTATGTCAATGTCATCAATAGCCACACTTGCTCTGCCTGATGCTCCAACCACACCCTGGAAGTATATCTAAAGGAGATTTTCAATTTACATATTAATGCTATTTTCTTTAATAAGATATAAGCAAATCAAGTTTTAATTTCGCGTCCTTACCTTCACAGTCTCGTTAGCACCAGCGTTAACTGGTATCGTGGCCCGTTTCCAAGCATTGGCTTGATTTCCAAAAAGCGACCACTCTTTAGTAGGAGTATTGTTCCCTGTCTTAACGAGAACCTCGAGATCACCGATATCATTACCGTGCATGAAATAGTAGAACGTAACGCACGAAACATTTGTATAAACAGGACTAACAAGACGACCGAGGTTGCCTGTTCTTACATCTGCCGGTATTGTCCTTGCATACATATAAGAACCTAGAAAGCAAGAACATTACGCACACTGAATATTCACCCTAAGTGAACGACAAAGAAACGATTGTGAATTGAGTTCCAGAGAACTTGAGCGGTCGCCTCTCAACGCTGTGGTCATGGGCTCGATCCCCGGACTCACCATCATATTTTAGTAGAGGAATAAACTTCTTCGACGATGCAGCAACCACCTTGAATCACAATGCATTATGGGTAGTCGGGGGAGGGTGGAGGCAAATATACACAATTTTGTTACAATTCTCTACTTTCACATCCCCATAATGCCTTGCGTCTTTGGGGGGTAACCAACCAAAAAACTTTCCCAAATTGAAAGGTTTCTTAATTGAATTTATAGCATACCTGCTTTTATCTGTACAATATTGATCATCAGTTTATTCCAAGTTATTTTTGCGTGTACAAATCATCAAGAGTTTTGGTCCTACAGAAAACGTATTGACTTACGAAAAAATGTTAAACATTTACCTACAACAACTTCAAGCTTCTATCTTTTTCTGTTTCTTACTTCTTCATTTTATTTTTGGATACCAAACAAGGTATTGTCAACATTGTCTGATCAGCCTTAAGCAAAATAAGTGGATTTTTACCCTCTGGTTACCCCCCAAAGACGCAAAGTATTATGGGGATGTGAAAGTAGATAATTGCGTAGGTGGAAATTTCCGGCTCACATTAAGACAATTTCACAAAAGATGAAATAAAATAACTGAGAATATTTTTCACATATCGTGGGTTCGTCATTTAAGCATATTGATTTTTTTGAGACCTGGGAGACCCATAATACTAGTGATTCAAGATGGCCCACACATCGCTGAATTAGTCCAGTGCTTGTTGGGTCTCCCCTGGGCTCCAAGCATGGCGCAGAATGCCCGGACATATTGCCTTTGCCGTCTCATTTGCATACGCTCGTAATCACTGAAGTGCGCGGGAAGTTTGAAAATTTTGACTCAATTTACAAAAGAATGAGTCAATTTTGCGACAAACACGTTAATACAAGACAACTTTTCTTGGACTTGCGTTAACAAAATACCGGGCTTGCGGCTTAAAAACTAAAGTTGAAATGTCAAAGTAATACTTTACAGTTAAAAAACAGAAATTAGAACGACATAAATAGTATCCATTTGCCATCGAAAACCGGTAATTTTTAAGAAATTTTATATGTAGGCAACTTTTGAACTAAAATTTACTTGTCTCATATGAAGAAATGTTGACGCTTGCGACCTGAATATTAAAGACTCTCTTGTATATTCAGCAACAAGCCGAAAATCAGTATCAAACTATTTTGTTTAATAGTATCCATTTTCATCTAAAGATTTTAATGAGGATTTTGGTGAACATGGTTCATTATTATTCATAGAAAAGAGAACTAAGCTCCGTCTCCTCACTGCCTCAAGTGATCCATATGTACATTTTCGCTAAAGAACCAGCAGAATCATGAGTGCTATTAGGATTCATTTGTTTATAGTTTCTTTGCAACGAGTAAACTATAAGATGCCGTATTCGAGTATGAGTCTAATCTTATAAATTACTAGATAGTATGAATCACTAGAATCATGAGTGTTCTTTGGATTGTTTATAGTTTCTTGGCAACCAATAAACTATGAGATGCCGTATTGGAGTATGAGTTTACTCTTAGTAGATCTATGAATCACTAGAATCATGATTGTCGTTTGGATTCATTTTTTTATAGTTTCTTGGCAACGAGTAAACTATGAGATGCCGTATTCCAGTATGAGTCTAATCTTATAGATTACTAGATAGTACGAATCACTAGAATTATGAGTATTGTTTGGATTGTTTATAGTTTCTTGGCAACCAATAAACTATAAGATGCCGTATTGGAGTATGAGTTTACTCTTAGTAGATCTATGAATCACTAGAATCATGATTGTCGTTTGGATTCATTTGTTTATAGTTTCTTGTCAGCTAGTAAACTATAAGATGCCGTATTGGAGTATGAGTTTACTCTTACTAGATCTATGAATC